TTTTTTAAAGCTTGTATTACAGACCAGAGAGAGGTTATCGTGTTTCGACCTTGTTTAAACACGTCTCTCTAGGAAGTTTTCACAGAGTTTCACTTTCGCGGAAATTTCCTGAGAATCCCTATATGCACTTTTCTTCAATATTCAGCTGTCAGTTGTTGAATGAGATTATACCTGACCAAGGTTTTTACAGGAATCAGTCAAGTACTTTTTATGGAGGTTGTTTATTATGTGTCCTGTTTATTATTAATTAGAGCCATTAACAGATTCTTGAATTTTTATCGACGAAATGTCTTCTATTATTTTTCTTCAAAATCAAGTGACTATATGAAAGAGAGAAACTAAGATAATTTAACAGCGCGCGCGCTAGTCGTTCTCCTATTGAGCCATCAGCGTTTATGGCGTGTGCATTTTCAATTCAGCTGCAAAATTTCCGTCAAGTTTAGTGCAAGTTCCTTTTGTGTACGTTTTGGTAAGGTGAAGATTATTCTGAACAATTCAAACCCTACTTTGAGCCTTTGACTTTTGCTGAGCCGTTTACTTAAACTTGAGTATTTTGACTTCGTTTGTCCACATTTTCATTGCGTATTTTTGACTTTGTTTGCCTGCATTTTCATTATAATTAATTCGAAGAAGCGATTTTTTTAGAAACCAAGTGAAGCGTTTTCGTCCAGCCGTTGCTCAACTGATTGTGGCGTGTTAGGATCCTTTTTATATAATGACCTTTGTTTTCCTTCACCATATGTGCGTTGTGAGAACTTTGTAGTCAATCACAAATGGAACATGTTTTAGAGTTCAATATGTTGTCGCCGTGTTATAAATGAATTGGTTCATGCTTTTAGCTGTGTTGCTTGAGGTGATAGCCGTGAATAACTCTAGCTCCTCGACTGGTGCTCTCCAAACTTCCTGCGTTCATCCACAACTCCATATACGCACGCTTAGCATGAACCAATTTGTTACTGTATTCTCTATTGTCCAGTGTACAAACGAGCATTTTTTTTGAAAGAGCTTAAAATCAGCTGCATACTATTTGTCATTCCAGCTTGTTGAAGATATTCATAAGTCTTTGTAAAGGGAACAGAAATGAACCCAGACTTCCTGATGATCTAGCATTTAAATCAATAGATTATACACGGTGTAGGTCAATCATGCAAACAGAGGGAAATACGTCAACCATTCGAACCACAGTCTCTTTCAATGACTTAATGCACAACTGATTTCCAAGTTAATCACACTTACGAAATCAGTGAAGGGCTGCAGTTATGGAAATCAGTTACAATGTGGCATAAAAATGAGCTGTGGTTTCTGTAATCGATCAAACGCTTGAATGACACTTATAGCACACTAAGAAAGGACGACCAGGGGGGCATTCAGAAAATTACTAATATTGGTTGATGGCACTAGTCCTGGTGAAATGTAATTTCAAAAGTAGCATGTTTTAATTCGTGAAATTTGTTTCACACTTTTTCAGTTCCTTTTTTATTTGACTCCTGATTGTCTTGATTCTAACCAAGCGTGAATATTTATTCATGCTTCAAAACTTGTGTTTGTTTCCTTGTTCACTGGTTTCAGTTGAGTGCGAGCAAGTTTTGTTGCACCATCCATAAATTCTTTTCTCTAAACTGACACAAAACGTAAAATGAATGAAATTATAGAGGCATATGAGCAAGGTGAAGACATTGGGCGAGTCTCTATGAAACCAATGAAAAAACTGTAAAAGGTGTTATTTGGACAACAGTTAAATGAGACAGCTTAAGCAAACCATGATGGCTATGGCAACGAGAATGCCACCAAACCACAGGTTTAATGAGTAGAACAATGGCTGTTCATGTGCGTACTAAATCTTTGCACAATTTCTTTTCCGTCCTCTGCACAGCAACAGAGAGAAATGACCAAGTTCTACATATTTTGGAGAGCACGAATGACGGTGGCAATTTTTTTATATTTTCATTGGGAATTGAATGCTGGCATTAAATATTTAGCTTGAGCAATTAGTTCTCAGAGACCAGTAGGCACTCTGAACAGATCTAGACCATTGCAAAATAATTTTGGAGGGAAAATGTAAATACATTTTTTACTAGGTGTTATCCTCAGACAGGGTCGCCATTGTGATGGCGTAGGCTCTCTTGTTACATGTACACAAACCACAGATAGAGGAGTGTTTGAATTAAGACTAAATAAATATGATAACATTATGCTGTTCATTAGCAAGGCTATGTGCACACTGTTCCTTGTTATTGCCAGTTTGGCATCCATTCTGCAACAAGACTGCTAATACATGTACAGTGTGCATATAATAATTTCACAAATCTCATTAGTACAGTGGAACCCCATCAATACGACCACCTTCGGGCCATGGAAAATTGGTCGCATTAATGGGGTGGTGGTATTAAAGGGGTTCTTTAAATAAGAAAATGACTGACTGACCCTTTTTTGGGGCCAGAATAAAGTGGCCGTAATAACGAGGTAGTCGTATTAATGGGGTGGTCGTAAGGCGGGGTTCCACTGCACCTGCACCCAAATTAGAGCTGACTTGCTTCAACTGTTTTAAACACAGGGTTCATACAGGTCCTGGAAAACCTGGAAAGTCCTGGAATTTTATTGTGGCATTTTCCAGGACTGG